ATAGATTCTCAGGTGCATTGATATTACTCTCCTAGAACGTATAAAATGCTTCTGCATTCCTCTGTGTGTGTGTGTGTCAGAATCCTGAGAAAGAAAGGGGATGAAAGAAAGAAATTTGTTGGGGATGTTATAGTGGGAGGGAGCAGACTAGGTGATCCCTTGCATCATTCTTATTCATAAAATGCTACAGTGTATTTTATCATTCTATGAATAAGATAAGCTGGACTTGAAATGGGTCTGGGAAAACAAATGAAATACTAGATAGATAGTCTTTTTGCATCTCCTTTGATGTACTTTCCCAGGGGGATGTGTGCAGTGGAAGAACTCGGTACCTCGATCCTATCTGACATCAGTTTTGACCATTCGGATGAGGAAGTGGTAAGTTCCATGCCTTTTTATCCAGCTTGACATGAGAGAAGTAAAAAGGCTTAGGGTAAAGTTGCCAGCCTTTTCAAAGTTGAAGAAAAGTCCTGGGAAGTTATTACTCTGTCCAAAATGTTCACTTGGCAGGGTAGCACGTAAGGATTTCTTATAATAAGATATCAGGGTCTATACATGAATCACAAAGAAAATGTACAAGAAAGTCTAATACAGTCCACTTTATTACGTGCAGTGAGTGTCATTATAAAAAGTATGTGTTTGTATGAAGGGAAGAAGACTGGTAACACAAAATAAAAGGACTGATTTTGCCACAGAATGAAGTGAGAATTCATCAGGAGTTGTTCATAGATTTTTCATGGATTAAACAGGGAGCAAGGTTTCTTATCACCCTCCATGTGCAAACACACCCATGCAAGAAGGTCTGGGTCCCAGCCACTAACTGTCTGGTGTATGGCCATAATTTTTATTATGAATCTGTGTTGCATTTCATTTCCCTCTGACCTCTAGTTTCACTGTTCCACTTCCAACCATCCCAGTCACCACCACTGGTGTTTAGAGAATGTTTTTCTTCTCAAGGTAGCACTCAGTGCATCTGATAAAGTAGATGGTCATCTGCAGAATTTGGTTGTGGTTGTTGTTGTATATATCACCCAACTCCCAGCAACTCTAGGTGGTTCAAGTCTTTGATGCCATAAGACATTGTTGTTTTAGGGAAGACAGACTGACATGACCAAGGGGTTTTGTATGGCTCTGCTTTCTACTGTTTTTATTATTGGGGTGAATACCATTTTGCATGCTCCATGGCATAATTCTAGGTGTCACCGAACACAACCATTTGTCAGCCCTGCTATTCCCTTTCAGCAGAGATCTGAGACATTCAAGAGCTGGGCTGAAATTGACAAGAGTCTGCTAGATTTTCTTCCAGCTTGAGGGATAGGTTGCAGGTCCAATAGAGGGTCATGGTTTGAAATGGAAGAGAGTACCCTTCATGGTCCTGATAGTCTCTCCGTGGTGTCTATGACCTGTCACTTGGTCCATTTCTGAGACCTACTTGAAAGACTGGTAAACTTGTCTCCAGAAAGAGTCCATTTGATAGATGAGCTCAAATGGTAGAGCAGAAGACTGGCCTGGGACAAGCAGGAAGGAGCTTCTCGGTGCCATGCAAGCTCCCTCCCACTTCATTCCATGCCCCACCTCCCTCCACTGACTTGTTAGCCAGGCTGTTCTTAGACTGGGGTTTACCTGCCTTCCAGAATAACTCATTCAGAAGTGGCTCAAGTGCAGGCTGCTATCTCTGTCACTCAGGCACCAAAGCTCTCCCCCTAAGCACCTGCCCACATTCACCCAAGTCTATGTCACTACAGATCAAGGAGAGTGATTGGTGGCAATTTCTCCTACTGACTGGTGACACTAGTTGGGGCAGGAAACAAAAGCAGAGTTACTGACAATGCATTACGTTGCATTGTAACACAAATGTAAAAACAGAACTGCTTGAAAGCCTGGTTCCTAAGGCAGTTTAGAGCTTGTCTATTGGAGAAGTGCAGATTATGCTGATCTAATTTCCTGCCAGTCCAGAAACTGCAGGAGTTCCCATTATTGTGACCATGGGGAACAGCCTTTAGTCTACATATAAGGAAGGCACCTGATCTAGGAAGTTTGCTATAGTGCTTAATGCTAATTAGTCCCCAAAAGCCATGGCACTGCTAATTCTGTCTCAGATCTGTATCCAGATATATGAAATATGGCAATATGATGATCCAAATCTTTCTCCATTGAACGTCAAATAAATTGGCATGTATCTATTGAAGAAAAAAAGGGCAAAGGCTAGGGATGGGAAAAAAGAAGGTTAGTGGAAGAGTTTTTCATCCACATCTATGAGGCAAGGATGCCAGGCATGCAAAAACAGTTTTACTTTCATGCGGGCTTACTTGAGTCCCCCGTGTTTAATTTCCAGTATACTTCATTGTAAAGTATCGGTTATGTCTAACAACATAATTTTAAATGCACATTAACTTCCAAACTGAAATGAAACAGGTACTGTAATATTATTCAAAATGGTTATTGTTCCAGACAGTAAAAATTAAAACATTTATTGATGCTTCTAGAATGTGTATGATGTGGGCTAGACAGATTAAGCTATGTATGTTGGCCATTGGAACCAAGTTATGCCATTTAGAGCCAGTGGATATACTAGGGAATTGATACGATCTATTTCTGAAGATGGTGGGTAGCTGGAGCCTTCATGTGCTTCCAAAATGCTGCATATATGGTGTAAAGCAAAATGTTGAGGAGGAGGAAGTATGAAAACTCAAGTTTAGAAATGACTGTTAAATAACTAACGAGTAACACATATTTCCATGTCCTCCCTTCTTTTTGTCTTCAAGGATGTAGGCATGATAAAACCTGTCAAAAGCAAAAACAGAGAGGTAAGTGAAGATGACCTGGCAGAACATTTATTTGTTTGTTTGTTTGTTTACCTTGTATCCTGCTACAATCAAGCAACTCTCAGAAGTACAGGTAATCCTTGACTTATGACCACAATGGGGACCAGAACGTCCATTGCTAAGCGATGCAATCATTAAGTGAATCACCACAGCCATGAAGTGAGTCTGGCTTCCGCCATTGACTTTGCTTGTCAGAAGCCCCCTGGGAAGGCCATAAATGAGAATCACATGACCCCAGGATGCTGTAACCGTTGTAAGTACATGCTGGTTGCCAAGCTCCCAAATTTTGATCACGTGACTCTGGGGATGCTGTGATGGTTGTAAGTGCAAGGACCAGTCATAAATCATTTTTTTCAGTGCCATCATAACTTTGAACAGTCATTAAGCAAATGGTCATAAGTCAAAGACTATCTGTACACTATTGCTGGACGGGGGAAAGCAGAATTCTGTACATGTGTGCTACGGCAATTTTTTTTAATTTCAAATCTCTGAAAAGTTTGACATGTGCACTGTTTTTTCACCCTACCAATGTTTTGTGGGATAGAAGAGACAAAACATTTATACCTCCTCTGTGATAAGCTCATGGTGCTTTCATGCCTGCAATTTTTTTCTTACAGCGTTTCTCACTGGCCCCCCTGGTTCAACCAGTGGTAGCAGCCAAGCGCGCACGGCCTTCTGGAGCATTTGCTAACAGCGTACGTATCTGTCAATGCTCTTACCTGCATGAGTAAGAAGGCATCCAAGATGCAAGCTTTTATCCTTACCTTTACCAACCTAAGCCTGATACTTCACTGAAGAGCTGGTACAAAGAAATGAGATAATGTGCTATTGCAAAGCAGGAATTTAAATGTGACATCAAGTAAGGTAGGGAAGGATCAGGTGAAAATGAATGCTTATCGGCTGAAATATCAGAACTTTGGGGAATAGCCCCATCACAGCTATACTATATGGTATGAATGATGGGGAGTATTTTGCCCGATACCTGGAAGAGGACCACATATTTGTCTGATTAAAGAATTTGGAACAAATTGGGCAATATATAAAATGCATGTTGTCCTGCATGATCTACTTCCTGGTTTTACTGCTTTCTTTATAAAGAAATTATAAAGAAAGGGTGGTCCAAGCTGGACTAGGGGAAATGTACACGGAACAGAAGAGTCTCTCTCTCTGATTTAACACACACACACACACACACACACACTCTCACACACACTCACAAAACAAAACCTCAATGGGCAACCATGGAGTTTTTAAAAACTTTCCCATCTATACAGATACAGTATGTGTACTTTTTAAGAAACGAAGGGACTGTTGGGAAGAATCGGTTCTCTGCTGTGCAGTATTTCCAATCCACCTTTTTCTCACAGCTGAAACAGGAAGTAGGACGGAAGGATCCCTATTGGGCATATCCTCTGCTTGGCTGCTAAGTTTTTTTTTATACTTTGAAAGTTCTATACAAGTTCAGAGAAGGCTGTACAGTTTCAAGGTACAGTCTTGCTAATAATGAAGATGAAGGCTTTAAAAAGGACTAGAAAATACCTACAGGCCTCATGCAGCCCCCCTGCATCCTTTTGTTACATGCTGGAGGGAGGTTTTTCTAACCCGATTTCTTTCTAATGTGTTTTCTAAAAGAAGGCCTAGCAAATGTGGCAACATTTGCACATGTGCACCGTTTTCAGCCACAACTCCTGGGCGGAGTTACCTATTGACTAACTACTGTTTGGAGAATGTTCATCCCTAGGGAGGCCACCACATGGCATCTTCCAGCCAGAAATAAATAGGCTACATCCTTATATTGCAGTGACTTGTTTTCAGAGTTGTTCCTCTCAATGCATTCAAATGACTCTTGGTGCTCTGCAGAAAAAGATCCCAGAATAAATTTCAATTGCAGTAAAGCAAAGTGTTGCCAAGAGCAAAGCAAAAACCCATGTGAGTTCTCTCAGGACAGAAATTGATCTTGTATTTCTGAATACAAAGTTATGTGTTAAACCTGTTATTAGGCAGCCAATTCAATTAGAAACATGAAGATCAAAGGAGGAGGTCAGGCAGTAAGAGGGAGGTAGCCTTAATTCCTGATTGGTACAATCACTGGGTTACAAAACCCATCATTCAAGATCAAGCTTGGTGATTGATTGATCCTCTTCAGCCCACCTGCGGTCTTCTGGAATGTTCCTGTGGCAATTGTTTGGTCTATCCTGGTAAGAGCTTTGTGCTACCCCCAGGATAATCCAAGAGCTGTTCCTGGCTCTTATCAGCCTGGTTCCTCTCCTCTAGTCTGTCCACTTAATTCAAATGTACATACTGGTTTTGACCCTACTTTTTTATTTGGTCAGCTCTAATTGTGCCACCTGCACAGGCATGTTATACAACCTCGCCTTCCTTATTTGGATAAGTTCAGCTATGCCATGATCTGAACAAATATGTAAACATCTTGTATAGGCCTACAGGCCATATTCATATATCTAACTAATTAAACTAAAGCCAGTCCTGCTTGTCCATCCAAATGAAATGTATGGATATGAGGACCTGCATTCTAATCTGAAGAGATTATTATTAGTGCCTTTTTTTCACACATCTTCCTTCTTTCCCTCTCTTCCAACTCTTGCCAGGTCAAGGAACTACCTGTGGTGGCCTTGAAGTCTAGAGCCATTGGTGGCAGCCGAGGCCTTGCCTGCAATTTATTACCCAGCGCTGTAGTATCCCATCATCAATCCCAGCTGAGTCGTTCAATTTCCACACATTCAGGTGTCCTTTCCCCCTTCAATTCTTTGGTGGAGTAGCCCATATTGAAATTGAATAGGTATAGTTAGAGAGACAGCATTGCCAAAAGGTTTAACAATTGTGTGAGAAAATCATGTCCTTCCTCTCATCTGTATTTGACTGGTGTTTCCAAGATACTGTAGCATTGAATGAGGTAGTGGAAGCACAGGAACAAAGAGCTTGGGTCTCTCTGAATGGCCAGCCTTATTATCTCTTACTGCTTGGGTGTAATTGAGGGCAGTTGCGCTCACTTGCGGAAACTGGAGAAGCTCTTTGTACCCTGTGCTTTTCTTCTACCATTTCAGAACCTTTTCTTTAAGGGAAGAATGTGAGAAATGAAGCTGTGCTAGAGGCAGAGGGATGGGGACCTAAACACAAGATCTTATCTATGATTGGGTTCATATATACCATTCAGTCACAAGGTGATTTGCTTGTCAGTGGAAAAGCACGTTGTGTGAATTCTGCCATTATGAGTTGCAAACCCAAGGTTATAGTTTAATGCAGTGTGTGAACCCTGCTTAGGGGTCATACTGCAACAACAATTTCAAGTGTAGGGTTTTTGTACTCAGGAATTTCACAATTCCAGTGGTTTATACAGGAGGAGAGGGGGTTTTGGTTTGGGTCTCCTTCCTGAGCGCTCTCACTGGTGGGATCCCAGCCTTCATATATGTGCTGAGATATTTTCAAATATTCAGTCTATCCTCTTGCTCCTCTGTTGGTTGGCAGTTTGATTGTCACTGTGTTCCCAGACTTAGTGCTCAAGAGAAGGGTTTGGAGCAAGACCTGCTTAACCAGGATTCTTGGACCATATTGAGCAATTCCACTGAGCTCTTAGCTGGGGGCTCCTGAACACAAAGCCTCTTCCTCCCAGGTGAAATCTGAAGTTTGAGGTAGGAATATAGGCTAATACAGGGTTCAGCCAGGTATGTGGGGAAATGTTGAGTAGAATAAGGGAAATATGTGTCCTTGCCTTTCAATATATTCCTCATGCTGAATGTGATCCTTTTCTCCACAGAGCTCACTTCTATCTGGAATAGCCCTGATGAATCTGGTGGACAAAATAGCCAGACTGGAAGCAAGACCATTGGACCTACCTCCAGGGGAACTATTGGTGCCTTCATTCATTCACCAGGAACGCCTCCACTCCAGCAGCACCGATTTGCTTCCAAGACAGTATGCAGAGACCATCTTGCTTTCCTTCATTTTAGCAGCATAGTGCAATAAAACTCTGGACCTCTGAACCCTTGCAGAATCTCAGCCTTTATTGCTTTGGCCCAGACCTTCAGCTTGTATTGCATTGGAGATGCACTTTGCAAACATGGGAGGAAGGAACATAAATCAGAGTGTATCAAGGATAAGAGTTAAAGCCTATCTCCTAGGCCAGGGTTTTCCAACTTTTTCAGGCTGTAGAACCTATTAATTAAAAAAAAAATTAACAAGAGGCAACACTCTAGTGATAGAAGATCAGCAATGAAACAATATGTGATCATAGTAATTTATTTATCTAGATGTATACATTAAAATTACTTTAATTTCACCAAATGGATGCCCCAACTGCTGTCCCAGAAAATCCTACCCTACCACTTATTTTAAGTATAAAACTAAACTCTTTATTGTCAATGCAGAATTAGTGTTTCCAAGGTACAAAAGTTAAAACATGAATTTCACAATTACTTGGAGGTTGATGGTTTAACCAAACAAATCAAATGGCTGGGATGTGGTTGTTTTTCCCTGAGAAAAATTGCTATGGATGCCCCTGGCTGTGTTCAAGTGAGCTTTTTTTCCCCCTTTAGTTTCTCATAGAACCCAACTCAGTTTGAAAAACCTGGACTAGACTGTACAGTAATTCCAATCCAGGTTGTCCTCTATGCTGGCAGTTTTGGGGAAAAAAATGTCTGCTCACTTCCAGAACTTCACAGCTAAGGTAACTTGTAGCTTGGCTTTAAGACCTGTGTGCTTTGCTACTTCAGGGGAACTTAAGGGTTGCTCACAAGTTAAGAGTCTCCTGGGCTTTCCTTAGCCAAGGTGGGGTGAACAGGAACATTCTGAGATTTCCAAGAAAGTGGATAATACTGGGGCTCAAGTGCAAAGATAGAGTTTAATTTGGATATTTTAGAAATAGCCAGAGCTGTAGAGGTCCAATGCCATTTTCTTTTTGCTGTGTGGTGCTCATCTTCTTTCTTCCTCTTCTTCCTCATCCTCTGTCCAAGGTGATTCGTCTGGACTGGTGTGCCGTTTGCAAATCCCGCCTGCGCTTTGGGAAGATGGCACTTAAATGTCGGTCATGTCAGCTTCTAATACATCCAGAGTGCCAAGAACACTGTCCCTCTCTCTGTGTGCCAGGTGCCCACCCCAGAGTGAAAGAGGTGAGGGTGGGGAAGCCCATAAATAGTAAAGGCATCCTCAAGTCAAACTCAACTTCTGGAAACTACATGAGCTCTGCAGTTGAACTGTGTAGCTTTCTTGGCAATAATATGGAAGCCATTTACCAGGGATGATCCCAGTTAATTTTGCAGCCCTAGAACTTCCAGGTGATCTTCAGTTCCATGCCTGCTTAGCTTTTTTTGAGATCAGCCAAGGTCAACTAAGTGCTGCTACCTGATGGCAGAACTCCAGCACGTATTTGGGCTTCTTTCTTCTTCTCCAACCCCTCCTTTTTTGTAGGGGTTGTGTGTTGCCTGGGTAAAAACAGTTTTGGGAGCTGAGATGATTTGAGTCTGATGGGAAGAGGTCTCTGAAATCTATCCCATGCTTTGTCATCTCCTCCCTAGGGTGTACTAGCTGATTTTGCACCTTCCAAGCCACCTCTGGTGCCCCCCATTGTGATTCAGTGTGTGGTTCAAGTGGAAAAACGTGGCCTGCAGGAGGTGAGTGGAACCCAGAGGCAAGGTGGGCAAAAGTAAGTTAAGAAATGTTGATGGAACTGCAATGTTTTTATATTCTGCTTTGCTTTCCAGATAAATCTTATTCCCGTTCCCTGTTAATTTTTTAATCTTTACTGAGTTGTCTGTCGTAGCTATCTGAATATAAAGTTAAGAGTATGGGTGCCCTTTGAATTCAATAGGCATATGGGATCCAACTCTTTTAGAGGTGTTCCCAAATTGTATATTTTTAATATGATAGGAAATAGAAATTATTAAATATCTGCGTGGAGAAGAATCGCATTAACTATAGCTAGTGTTAATTAAGTTTCTATCTAAATTAAAGGAAATTGTTTTTATTTTTTGACTTTGAGGTGTCAGGTCTCCAATGTACTAGTCAAATATAATCTTCCTGTCAAGGGAGTGACTGCCTTTATCTTGTGATGGTCCTTTCCTCATCCATCTGGTGATGGGGAAGGACAGAACATTCAAGCAGTAGCTTTCTAAGAATACTCATGTTTTTTCTGTGATGGGCTCAGATTTGACAAAATGTCTCAAAGCAATTTTATTTAGTGGGGTTCAGAACATTGAAAAAATGTATATAACTTAGAGCTTTATTGAATGTTGCTTTCTTCTATAATACCCGCCAGCTAAAGAATAGAAGAGGATATACTGTACAGTAGATCAATGCAGTTAGCAACACTTCCATTATTGAAAATCAAAGCATTGTTTTTTTTCCTTTACCATAGCCTCCTATTCTTCTTAAATAAATGGTAAGCTCTCCTCCTTCACAAAGACTAAGGCTTTCATCTTTTGTTGGACAGTTTACAAAAGTGGGGGAAAGAAATCACCCAGAAGAATGTTTCTATATAATGTAATCTGGGTGAACACACTTACTCTGAACAACTTTCCTTATGAGAATATTTTTTTGTAAGCACTGCATAGTGCTTACAACAAATTATTCTCATAAGTTAGGTTGTTATGAGAGAGTACCTAGCTGAATGTAATACATTTCTCAAGAGCAACTCTGCTACAGAGGGACAAGATCAAACCAAGACCTAGGAAATTAAGGGTAGAAATGTTGGTCATGAAAGCCCATTTTAAAAAGTCATACACCTCATGTTCTGTGATGTTCAATCCATAAAAAGTGATGTATGCTCTGCTTGAGAGAACATGTGTTATATCAACCCTCCTATGTTAGACCCTCCCTGCTGCCCTTGCCTTCTGCCCTCTGATGACTACTTAAACAGTCTTCCAAATGATATTTTGCTCTTTGTAAAATTTGGATCTGTACATCAAATTCTGTAAGCACTGAGAGTTCCCCCCCCCCTTCTCCCTCTGTTCTGTATTTTGTTCATGTAGCTCTTTCAGTTTCTCATTTTTTCCCTTTAGTTTCACGTTTCAGTGCTGCTGATCATGTTCTATGTTTTAATCCACTGTTGCTGCACGATCTCAGGAAAAGACACAACCTCATGAAAGAGTTGCAAACAGGTGTTGCATTGTTGCCCTTGTGCGCTGAAACATGTTTGAGGGATCAAAGCCATCCCTTTGCTGCTCTTGAATTTAATGTATCTGTTCCTCTTCAGCAGCTGCTGTTTGTTTTTGTCTTGTATTTGCTAGAAGCCTCTTTAGGATTTTCATAACTCCCTCTCTCTTTTCATTAGATGCCTTCCCCTTCTCTGAACGCTCTAACTTTCCGCTTTGCCTTGTTCTGTACGCCTGGCTCTTTCTCTCTACAGAAAGTTCCTCTGTCTCTTTAGTGGTAGGGAGTTCACAGGTGTGCTTACACCAGCTGAGTGATTTAGCTATATTCTTCCAGATACTGCTTTAAAATCTTGCCTGATCTTGGTCTCTTGGACCCAAAAAGCTACTCATTTCCCAGGGAATTGGCTCAACAACTGAGACCAATTCAACCGTTCTTGCATGCTTACAGAGCAGTAGCTGGCGTTCCTCGGTCACCAAGTCAAAGGTGTATAATACCGAACACCAACCAACTTATTTTAGTATATAAGGCTAGGGGGGCGGGCAGGGAAACCAAGAATCTTTTCCCATCCCTGGTAGTAAAAATGCAATAGAAATATCTTACAGTTTGCTGACATTTTTTTGTTCCCTAAAGTTGTTAACTCATTCTGCCTATGGGTAGGGCCAGCCCTGGCCATCAACTAGAAGCAGGGCTTTTACATGGCAGTTTCCAGGGTCTAGAAAACCCTAGTGAAGGAAATTAAGAAATTAGTCCTTTTACTTTAAAGCTTTGGATAGCTGCCAATTGTGTTTCACCAGACATTCAAATGATTCTCTATTTGTTTGGGTCACTATTAGAGCCGTTTGGGATTTTGTGTGTGTATAAGCATAAAACGCACATCAGTATTCGTGCAGATGATGTTTTGTTACATACTTTCAAGAAAAGCAACTTGGGTAGGCTAAATGAATTAAACAGATGCTCTTCCAATCTACCAATCTCAACTTCTGGGCTGAAAACTCATCTTTCCTTTTGCTTGCTGCTACCTTAGTCAAATTAAGATTGTAGTCAGGGATTCTTATGTTCCAATGTAATGCCCACCCTTGAACAGGGTGATGTGTTTTGTAGACTGGCAAACCATCCTCAATTACCTCAGACAATGGCTTCTTCCAGTAGCTAGCAGCCAGAAACAGGTCTAAGAACAGGTGCAAGCAGGTTGCCATGTAGGGGTTAGGGTTAACCTCAATGCCACCTCCCCTCAGTAAGGACTGATAAGGAGTCATGCCTAAAGAACAGCACCTTTTCACCTCTCCAGAGTAGCCCTCAGAGTAGAGGAGGAATTAGAACACAGGGATGTTCTGTGTGGTCAAAAGGCTATCTAAAGAACTTACCAGAACAATCGGAGAGGATTCAAACATTTGTTTTATTGAATACAGAGAGTCACCAGACCCTAAGCCTTGGGGGCAAAGAGCCCTGACTTAAAGTTACATGGACATATAGAGATAAAGTTGCAAGAAAAAGTATGTGAACCTTTTGGAATTTCATGGTATTCTGCATTAATTTGTCATAAAATGTGATCTGACCGTCATCTAAGTCAAGAGTATTGACAAATATAATGTGCCTAAAAT